TATTGAGAAAATCGCCTTTAAAGTTGTCCAAATGAAGTTCTTAGCAATGCATATTACTAATCAAAAATTACATTTTGATATATTTACGGTAGTAGATTTACAAAATATCTTCATGGAACATGATCTTTACTTAATATCCTAATGATTTTTGGCATAAAAGAAAAATCGATCATTTTGTCCCATACAATGTTTTTTTTGGCTATTGCTACAAATATACCCCAGCGACTTAAGACTGGTCTCCAGGGTCACAAATGTGGTGTGTGTGTGTGTGTGTGTGTGCGTGCGTGCGTGCGTGCGTGTGTGTGTGTACAGTGGACACGTATCGAGTGGGTAATGACGTGTCCGTGGATCTGGAGTTCAGGACGTCACAGAGCAGCGGCGTTCTGTTAGGCGTCAGTAGCCAGAAGATGGACGGACTGGGCATTGAACTTGTCAATGGAAAGGTACAAAAGAGAGATCTAGATTTTGTTGTTTTCAGTTCCATTAGGGGGAGGGGACAGGTAAATGATTGTGAATTTGTCTTTATATTTGAATGGTTTGTTAATAAGAGTGTCTGTGTTTGTTGCTGTAGCTTTTATTCCATGCAGATAATGGAGTGGGACGCTTCACAGCCGTATATGAGACAGATCCGGAGGCGGGGCTTTGTGATGGACAGTGGCACACTGTCTCCGCCCACAAGCTGAAGCACCACCTGGAGCTCATCGTGGACGGCAAGAAGTCCGAGGCAGCGAGTCCAGACGTCCGCTCTGCCTCCGCCGATACCAATGACCCTGTGTATGTGGGCGGATACCCCGGTATGTCAATCAAACTCTGTTGCCATGGTGTCATTGTTAAGAATGTTCAAACATTCATTCGTGACTTGGAATTAAACTAAGCCATGGAGATATTAACAAGCTAACAGGCAATAGTAACTTAAAAATAGAAAGTTAAAAAAATACATTTTATTAAAAATCTAATTTATTAAAAAAAATAATCTAAAAAATAATGACATAATAAAGCTTCTGTTTGATCATGATCAATTAAAACATTCATAAATTTGATGACATTTCTGATTCTGTGGCTCGTTCTCATTTACATCATAAACAAACAGAAACTTCTGTTGAAAAGCGGAGCGTGACGCTCATGACAGCAGTACTGTGAACAACAGTTGTTAATAAAACAAAACATTTACAAATACCAAATTAAATTGAAAATATGATTTTTTTTTCAAGCTCTTGAGGAAAAGTGGAATTATTTTGATTTGAAGTCTTTGTAAATGTATTATAGAGCAGAAGTTAGAAGTCTGGATCGGGGACAATCCTAAAATACAGAAGTTCTGGAAAATTGAACATTGCAACATTCTTGAAATTAGGAACAGACAATTAAAAGTTTCAGCTTTCATTAAAACGTATTCATTCAACTAGAAAGGTTGTTTTTTTAAGCATTTTTTCTTTCAGCTCATCTTAGCGGACAGACACATTGACAATTGGATCCGTTTAAATGTTTCCTGAAAGCTAAATGACTGAAATCAACTTGTCTGTTGCAGAGGGTCTGAAGCAGTTTGGACTCACTATAAACACACCGTTTAAAGGCTGCATGAGAAATGTGAAGATCACTAAAGCTGGGAAGACTCTGGAGGTGCAGATGAACAAAGTCCTGGAGCTCAGAGGAGTTCAACCTCTCACCTGCCCTGCTAGTTAAACACACACACGCTCTCATCTGCCCTGCTCTAGTTAAACACAAACGCTCTCGCCTGCCCTGCTAGTTAAACACACACAGGCTCTCACCTGCCCTGCTAGTTAAACACACACAGGCTCTCACCTGCCCTGCTAGTTAAACACAAACGCTCTCATCTGACTCATTTGACTGCTACTCAGAGTGAATCAGTTCATGAATCAAAATCAGAAATATTCAGAGAACTAACTGTGAAGTACTAGCTGTGCTGCTCATAACCAAATAACACAAGGAATATATCTTTTTTTTAAAAACAGCTGGACAAACCAAAGATTATAGACAAACCCAGCCAAATGAAAACCAGATCAAAAACTTCTTTAAAATACAATTAATACAATCAGATGTCATAGGAGAAAAATGTTATAAAACCTTTCAGTAACACTTTACAATAAGGTCCCATTAGTTAACATTATTCAGGCATTAACTAACATGTACTAAAATACAACTGTTCTGTGTTAATTCATGTTTGCTCTGGTCAATTAAAAATAACAGACACAACTTTTTATTTTAATAATGTATTATTAAATATTGAAATGAATTATAACTAGAATTAATAAATACTTTAGAATATTTTTCATTGTTAGTTAATGTTAACCAATATAAACAGATGAAAACTTATTGTAAGGTGTTACCAACTTTTTATGCTCTAGTTCATTATCAAACTATGTATTTGTGTGTTAAAGAAGCCAAAACCAAAACAGAAACTTTAGTAAAACATTAAGAACTTTTTTTAATCTCCAAAGCACAACTACATCTTACACAGCCAAACGGATCCTAACAAAGCCATTAAAGAGTGAATGACCCGAGCAATCGGGATTGTATCATTTAAAAAGACACACATTGATACATCAGTAACTCAATAAACTACAGAACTGTAAGGCCGTAAAACATGACTTTCTGCTGAGACCTTTCAAATGTCACCCACATCAAACATTGGGTTTGATAATCATTTAACACAATATCATACATTATTACGTGGAGAGCGTTGGACTTCCGGTCTTAAATTTGTGCATTTCGAGTTTTCTTCAAAGTGTGATTACGTTTGACACCTGATACAGTACATCAAGAAATATTTAAACAAAAACAAAAAATGCTTGTGCCTTGCTCCAATACTTCATAAACTGTAATTAGAAAGGTTACACTGACATAGAAAATTAAGGACCTGTTCACAATTAATTAGCCTTGCCAAAAATCAGCACAGATGTGCTGTATGAAAATCAAAAGTCAGATGTAGGAAAGTTGGACAGATCAGATTTTCGGATTTAAGTGTGACCACAGTGTAAATGCCTTAATGATCAAACCACACTTGAAGAATCAGGTTGGCTGCATATATAAGGAGCAACATACTTTATCTGAGAGCCAAAGAGATGGTACGACACATTCATGGAAAGAGGCCTTGTGTTGAGCCCTGAGACACTTTTCTCTGAGGTCTCAGTGTGTGTTTTTGCATGGAGTGATGACATGTACTGTGTAATGATCAGTATTTCAAAATAAAGAAAAATCCCCTCTGATGGCGCTTGATACGGTCTGCTGTGTTTCCTTTCATTGTGTCGAAATAACCATTAAAGTTCATGAACTAGTTCTCCTCCAGAGGGTCATTAGTATTCACACTTTCCGATTTTAGACTGACTTCCAATGTATCATGGTTTAGTAAAATATTTAAGAAGTTGAGGTCAAGTTAAATGCACTCTTAGATGAAAATAATATTCAGATTAAAAAAAATTTTACTTGTTTGTAGGACAGGTCATAATAAAGCTTCAATTTTAGTCTTGGGCTAAGTACAGCATTTGATACAATAGACCACTGTTAAATACTAAGTCTTTTAAACAGCTTTTGATCTTTCTGTCTCTCAGGTGACTGTACATGGGAGACATGATATATCACATGGTGTTCCACAAGGGCTGGTTCTCAGGCTACTTTTATTCTCATGCATCATGAAATGAATGATCATTTTTATAGACATCACACAGTCTGATGGGCCTAAAGAAACTGACTGAACATCTGTCTTTCATTTTACTCTGGAAAATTGAGGAATTAAGATGAATAGAATTTTCTGTCTTCCTATAAATGTTCACACTTTACACTCGGAGAATTTAGCGGTTTGTACATTTCATATTACATATACACTACACACACACACACACACACACACAAAACAGCTTGTATTCATACAAATCAGTTAACTCAGTGTGGTTTCCTGTCCAAAAAAACAAAGCAGAACTATAAAATCTATAAGAGTGCAGTGGTTTGTTTCCTCACCACACACAGTCTGGAATTACAACAGTGGAAAAAACAAGGAAGTACACTTTTTTTTTTTCAACAGTGTACAAATGTTGAAGACCTTTTAACTCATAGCAGAGGACAGCAGAAGAGAACGAGTCATGCTCATCAGAAGTCTGTTGCACAGAGCCATCCATGCTGGGACGATCCTGCTGAGAAACCATCAGAAATGCTCTACAGTGTGGAGAGAGACTCGCCACTGCTCGGCTTTAGTTTACAGAGAACACTCAGATAACATCGATACTGTGAGGTATGGAGATATCAGACTGTTTATATGCTTGTATTAGTTCATAGCAGTGGATTAAGATGTACTGCAATGATAAGTAGTCTTAATTATAAAATTTAAAAAAATGTTCATTGCAAAATTTATTTGGGATTCTACCAAGGTAATTTCATCTGAGGTCCTTAATGATATTTGGAAACAGTATTTTTAAACCATGATTGGCATGAACCAGCAATCTGAATCAAAGTCTTCCTCATGTTGATGTTTTTTAATATATTGTAGCACTGACTCCATGTTATACTCTCTTTGGTAAGCGCATAGATTAACTGCAGGACACTTGTGAAATGATGCTCATTGACTCGTCATTTGTCTTCAGGATGGAGCAGCTGCTGCTGCCTCCAGTAGGAGATCGTTCTGTGAGGGTCCACATGCTCGCAGCACCAGTCAATCCTGCAGACATGAACATGATCCAGGGTAAAGCCACCACTCATACACCTTCATGTCTGTTTACATCCTTTCAGTCTAGTGATGGTTAAATCTGATGTTATTTTATAGAAATTCTGTTCTACGCTTTGGGTTGATGGAGGCTGAACATGATCTTGTCTCCATAGGTTCGTACCCGATCTTGTGCCCCCTCCCAGCGGTGGGGGGGAATGAGGGGGTGGGAGAAGTGATAGAGGTGGGCAGTGATGTCACATCTCTCAGACTTGGTGATTGGGCCGTGCCCATAGATGCCGGCTTTGGTGAGGAGATATTCAGCGTTTCAGTTTAGGGATTAAAAAAAACATCAAAACGTTGAAGTCAACATGGAATTCAGTTCCAAAATGTGTGTATTTCCAAGTGCATTGCAATGAAATCCAAAAATATTTAAGGTGGGTCTTGATTGAAATTTGATGACAGGTGGTTGATAAGCAAGAATTCTTGGTGGCACAAGTCCCAAAGGAACGTCCTTTCAGAGGAGGAACAAGATATTGAATTCTTACAAAAGATTTCAAAGAAAAAATTGCAATTAATTAAAAACAGCCTATAGCCTGGAGCATTGAAGAAACGTCTCTGGTTATGAATTTATCCTTTGGTTCCCCAAGATACAGGGAATGAGACACAGTGTCAGCAACTGACACTATGGGGGGAAACTTTCTCTTGAACAATCACTTAGCCCTATTGAATCACACCAATGCAGGCGTTCACACCTGATGTGTTCATATAAATATAATCGGCTGCTGAATGTCATTACCTCCAAATCTTTATGTGTGACTGAGAGCAATGTGCTCATCCTGAAGTTCATGCATATAATGTGGCAAGCTATGCAATGTCTCATTCCTTGTATCGAGGGTCCATTTCGAATGGGGAAACTCCTGTTTACTCTGATACCGAAGCCTGATTTGTTCATGCTCGTGTAGCTGCACGAACCAATGGCGCTTCAGTCTGCCAAAAGGGGAGGAGCCTACCTCTACCCCTCTCCAGCACAATGGTGACCCACAAAACTACATTAACAGATCTCTCTTGTGCAAAAACACATTAATACAGTTCAGTTAAATATTTACTCTCCTTATAGAAAATTCTGTGATTAATTAAGTGATGATTGTGCTTTAGAGATGAACAGCTGCTGTTAACAAGCAGAATCACTGAATGAAAGAGAAACACCAGAACTACAACTGACTTCAGTCACAGCCTTAGATGAAATCCACTGAAATACAAGACATTAAATCTCTATTGAAGATCTGATTAAACAACTCCACAAACAGCATTACCAGCGTCACGCATTATAATTTGACTTTGTTTCTGTCATATATCTACAAAAATTATTTGAGAATTAAAAGAGGTTTAGATGTTTTATTGAAAACGTTTCGTTTGGCCTCACCATTATGGTGATTAGGGTTTGTTCCAGTTGGGCTCTTGACCCTTGACTTTTTAACGCAAAGTGTTTTTGGTTGATGTAACTGTGTTTGTAAAATACATTTGTTATAGCAAGAAAAACCAAAAAAATGTGTGAGTATGTGGTTTTGGTTAATTATTGATAATGGAGCAATCATTATCTAGTGGCTTGATTCAGTGATCTCATTCAGTGGCTAATCTTTAATGACATGGAGTTATTTACAAAAACTATATGACCATGCATAATATGACAAACTGCTACTGAAGGAGTTTAACACCGTTTTATACTCAAAATCTTTAGTACTACTGCAACATTTAGCCACACACAGACATCAAGGATCAGCACATGAATCTCAACAATGGTGACAATCAAAAGCTTCATGCTGCAATGCATGCTGGGTACCAGCACAGTACAAAACTCACCCATGACTCCCAGCATGCATTGCAGCATGAATAAATTATGCTGAATTGTCCACTTATTTCTTTAATTCTTACTGTGCTTTTCTTTTTTGTTGAGTTATAGTAGCGTGTTTTGTGATGTTCAGAGTTGATCTGTTTATGTATTCTGTTGATTGTCACCGTTGCTGAGATTCATACGCTGATTCTTGATGTGTGTGTTTTTTTTATTTAAACAATCTTTCATAACAGCTTGCTTGTTTTGTTCTAATGTAGTGTAACATTGTTTTGTAAGAGAAGAGACACCTGATGAAATCAATGAAGCTGGTGTTTAATGACAATTACATCATTAGCAAAACATAATCAACAACACTACAAATTTTGTCTTGCCTTTGTTTTTGCCACAACAAATGTGTTTAACAACACATGGTTACAGCAGCCAATGAAAAGTTAATGTTAAAAAGTCTTCTTCTTTAAGAATCTTAAAAAGATTCAAGAGCCTAATTAAAGCAAACACTGATCTAACTCTAACCTTCTGTTAATTCTCAATAAGATCTTCTGTAGACATCTGACAGAAATAGTGTCAGTGTGGTTAGTAATGCGTGAAGCTGGTAATGCTGTTTGTGGAGTTGTTTAATCAGATCTTCAATAGAGATTTAATGTCTTGTATTTCAGTGGATTTCATCTAAGGCTGTATCTTGAGAGATTTAATGTCTTTTATTTCAGTTGATTTCATCTAAGGCTGTGGCTGAAGTCAGTTGTAGTTCTGGTGTTTCTCTTTCATTCAGCGATTCTGCTTGTTAACAGCAGCTGTTAATCTCTAAAGCACAATCATCACTTAATTAATCACAGAATTATCTATAAGGAGAGTAAATATTGAACTGAACTGTATTAATGCGTTTTTGCACAAGAGAGATCTTTTAGTTTAATGTAGTTTTGTGGGTCACCATTGTGCTAGAGAATAGAGCCTGTGCTTCAGTCAATGATATGCCGCAAACACTGATGTTCTGCTGCTTTATTTAAAGGCAGTAAATGTGGAGTTGATGCAGTGATGATCTCTTTGTTAAGTACTTCAGCACATACATGTGTGCTATAGCTGATGTTGAACTGCAACGATTTGAATTAAAGTCATGTTTTTAGTAACTTTACTATTACACATTAAGTGTTTGCAGTTTTGTTCTAAGAAATATTCCTTCTCAGTGGATTCAAATGAAATACGTTAAGCAAATGTTTACATACCATCACAGCAGTGAAACATATTGACTCTAATTTCTTGTGCTCGTGTAATTTCACTCACATTCATAAACGTTTCTACTGTAATTTTACAGTGATAGCTGTAAAAAAATAAAATAATTTTACAGCATACAAGAGTTTGCTTTATTTTTACAGTACAATTGTAATTATTGATTTACAGTACTTTTGTAAATTTACAGTCTTACTGACAACCAAAATTACCAGTAAGTTACTGTAAATTTTACAGTAATTTCTTTACAGTGTGGTCACAGGGCAAACTCTTTTCTGACTGAGAGCAGTTCATGTGCCAGGCAGACTGAACCAGGGGGCAGACATGCTGTCCAGGGACAATGTAGCTCCAGAAGAATGGAGACTACATCCCCAAATGGTTCAAATGATTTTGTCTGTCTTCGGGAGGGCAGAGGTGGACCTCTTCACCTCAGAAGACAACTTTCACTGCTCAATCTACTTTTCGAGACAGCAAGATGTCCTGGCCTATGATTGGCCCAGCACT